CACCATTGGGCCCTTTCTAAGGCAGTGTTTATTGCCTGCTTTTTTCCCCTGTATGGGTGACACTTTTCTGTTTCTTTGCACGTCTTATAATTTTTTGGTATAAACTGAACATTTTATATAGTATCTTATAGCAAGTCTGGATAATGATCCTCCTCCTTGGGGGAGTGTTATTTGCTTGGTTATTTATTTCCCCTGCAGCATGCAGCCTGTTATCTCTATCTTTTAGTCTAGCTACCTGAGAGTTGCCCCTGGGTTTGCATAAGGCACTTATTGGTCAGTAAGATTTTTCCCCGTTACCACTGGATATGTGTGTGCTTGAAGGCTGCTATCATAATTCAGGGAGTTTACTTTAGACCCATGTTCAGCCAGAGACTAGCTTGGAGGTTCCTTCTCTGTTCTGAGAGGGCACAGCCTTGAATGTACACATACTCTTACAGATTGCAAGGGATGAGTGTGATTTTATCTTTAAGCCTGTGTTCCTAGGCGTCACTTCTGGGTCAGAGCAACTTATTGTTCAGTCAGTGTTTGGTCAAGTTCCTTGTGCCAGTGAAGCTTTTGCCCTGTGTTGATGGGTCTGCATGTATTGGGAAATGCTTTTAAATCTGTCCCAAGTTCTGTTCTGATTGTCCTGAGTGGGTGTAGCCCAGCACATGCACACAGCTTTTCAATCCTCAGAGTTGACAGTGCTCCCAGGAGGGCTCTTCTTGTCTCGCTCTTGGTTTCTCCCTGTTAAACTTCTGGTTGCTCTACTACTTTGCTTGTACCAGCTCCTCCTAACTGCTCTCCACTAAGCTCTCCATGGTTTTTGACAATGCCCTTAGGGATGGAGTTCTCCATGCTCTATTTCAAATGAAGCCAGTTCTCTCAGGCAGAGCTGTGAAATTCTTTGTCCTCATCACATGCCTTCCCCTTTGGAAAGAACCTCTGCACCACTGAACTGGAGTCGGGGGCAAGGGGCCCAGAGTGAAACCACACTCCATGAGTGGGCACTGGGGCATGGTGGCAGTCCCTGACATTCTCAGTTTTCCTCTACTTGAGTAAAACCTCCAACTTTTGAGTAAGCTGGGGTGGAAAAAGTCAGGGCCCTAGTATTCTCAGCTTGTACATGGAATACTGCTTCCATTCTAAGAGTGCAGGCTGGGTGGTCGAACGGATCTCCAGTCCACTTGGTTGTGCCTGCCTGGAATATTTTCTGCAACACAGGGTTGGGGGAATGAGAAATGCAGGCAGCTACCCCTGCCAGAGTGAAACTGTAGCCTCCGAGTGGGAGCTGGGGGAAGAGGGAGCCCTACCTCCTCACAACATCTTCATCACATCTGCCCAGAATAGAGCACCGAGGGTAGAGCTTCTATAACACAGACTTGGTGGGATGAGGGGTATGCAGGTAATTCCTCAAATGCCATAGACTCTTGCTGTTCTTACTGAGATTTAATAAGTTTTCTTGAATGAATGTTTCTCTAATTTCTATATGCCCTCTGAAAAATTTCTAGAGACTTTAAATGATTGTTTTTTTTAAAAAAATTTTTACCAGTTAAGTTGTTGTTTTGCTGGAGAGAGGGTCTATTGAGCTCCTCACTTCACCATTCTGGAAGTCTCACCCTTGAATATATTTTTGAACATAATTTCTGAGCAGAAATGTGGTCCAGCAAAAAGAGAAATAGACGGGGTGTCAGGAGCCAGCGTTTTCATCCCAACTTGGCCTCTAGCAAGCTCAGTGACTTCTCCTGAAGTTCAGTTTCCTCATTTGTAGAATGAGAAAATTGTATTAAAGGACTTCTAAATTCCTTCCAACTCTAAAATCCTATGATGTTATGAAATAGAAATGGAAAAGAAAGTCATCAGTGAAAAACATTCTACTGTAGCTGTGTGAGAACAGGAAATATGGAAACAATCTACTGCCTTTTTTTCACCAAAAATATTCCAACCTGTTTTTAATTGGTTGGAACTCTACCTAGCTAATCAAAATGCTAGTTTAAAACATGGTTTGCAGTCAACGTTTCCTTCCTAAAGGTTTCCTTCCTAATCATTAGAACTGAGAAATTGGGGGCAACAGAAAGTTGCCTTTCACTGATTGGTCTTCAAAAATATGACAGCTTAATGCTAAGTGAAAGCACTATAGTTTGCTACCATTTTACCCATATTATGAGCTCTGCAAACAATTACTTTCTCTCTGAGACAATTCCAAGTTTTCACCTTCTGCATAAGGTTGTAAGGTCGTACTTCCAAAGTGTCTATTAATCATCTGTACTTATTCTGAGTGTGTGAATGACAAAATATCAATTCTCCCTATGCATTGCAGAAAAGAGTTGCTTCAATGGGACACCCATTTCTAATCACAAAGACATATTTTTTATTCAGTAATGATTATTTGCACAGATTGCTATAACGATAAAATTTGGTAAAGGGCCTCCCTTGTTGAGTCATTTCGTCTTAACTAATCACTTTTAGCCAGCTTATCTGACTTCATATTGTCATTTATTATATTGTTTACACTCAAAATCTGTTTCCTCAAAGCAGGGAGAGAAGGGACCTTTCTATAATTTAAGAAAGTTGCCACTGCAAACGTACTTGAATGCTTTCAACTACTAACCCACAACACAATATCCTATGATAAAGTTACAAGGTAAGATAATTATGACTATATATTGGCAAAAGGTGCTACTCACTGACACATCCGACAGTTAGGAAGGATAGAAGTAAGATGGCAGTTTGGGCAAAGTGATCCAGAAACAAGGAATCATATAATCTTTAAATATCTTGCCTTTAAAAACAAAACATATTTTTAAACTAGCCATCTTCACAAACTGAGCTTTGTCAACATCTAAGGGAAAAGGCAAAATATTTATCTTAAGGTATATAAAAGGTACAAATCCCTGTAGAGGAAAAGTAAATGCATATTTTCAGTTTGTCCAAATGTTAAGGCCTCTTTCTGATTCTTACAAGTGACCCTCAGACTTGAGCTGTTCAAAAATTTCCACATGAGCCCATCTGCTCACCAAGATATTTCTATGTTAAAAACCTTCAGGAAGGCATCTGGCCCAGTTTTTATGATCCCAAATTACCTCGGTTTCAATTTAATTTTTGTAAACTGGGATTCCCTTAGGAAGAAAGTAAAATTTTCAATCTTTAAAATAAAGGGATATAAGAAATAAAACTGTATCATCTTGCTCCATTTTCAGAGCCCATGTCTCAAAACTATAGCTTATTCATCCTAATATATTAAAAAAATTACGTTGCAACACTGATTTAGAAATTTATATACTTTATCCTTTTGTGTGAGTATGTAATATTATGATGTAAAATTAGTACATTATAATAAATGCTCTTTTCTTGGCATTTCCTCTGAGTGAATCATCTTTCATTTTGATTTGCCCATTATTTCACTGTATAGAACCACCTTAATATGACAGAGTTAAGAGAAAAATATTTAAGACTTAGTTACAGCCCCTACAATAACTGTGTTTTTCAGGTAATTTAAGTTTTTCTTAGCTGAAAATACTGGTTAATGACCACAACGACCCAATGGTCTAGAGACCGCCTCCAACCATATGAAAAGAAAATAGCTTCAACTCTCTTAGTGGGGAAATCATCCCCACCCTAAAACCATTCCTATCCTTCCTTGACTAAATGTTTCCCATATCACAGAATCACTTACTTTGAATACCACTATTCACACTCAAAATGAATATTACTTCTTACCTGCTTGATTATGCAAGTAAATGAAATCTTTTCCATCAGCATCACTGGAAATGTATAGAAAGAATCAACAGAAGCAAAATTTCTATCTAGACTAACCACATTTCTAGTAATGCAGCTGATTTAATTCAAAGTGCCTTTTTTTCCTCAGAAAAGCAGTAATGTCTATTGCTTCACAGTAAGAAATGTCCAAGAAAAAAAAAACATTTTGCAGTTGATTATACATCTTAGTGTTAACTCCAACTTCAAAAGCAAGATCCTGCATCACTTACTCTGGTGTCAAAGACTGTGAAATACTAGCTTCAAGCTATTTATCAAATTGCCTTTATATAACAAAACTGGACACCCGAGTTGGGTAAGTTTAGATATCCACCTACCAATGACAACAATACAAAACCAAACAGAAAAAAACATTAGTCTCACCCATACCAAATTATCATTTAAAACACATTAAAACCATAAACCAATAAATACTTTAAAACATTTTCTGAGAAATAAAACCTCATTATATAGAGTTATGTGGCCAATCATGAGATACCAAGTTTTTCAAACTGAATGATTACTACCAAATAAATTAAAGCAAGTTCAAATTGGAAAAGAGAGGAGCATTCTAAGTGAACACATACCAACATTTTATTATTTCTAGCAGGCAAAACTTGATTATTTTGTTTGGGCTCCTCCTCGTTATGTCAAGCTTAAAGGAACTCATTAAATTACTGAAAAAAGAAGGGAAGAACTTGTAATAAAGTAATTCTGAAGTGTCAACACAGATTAGAGTCCTAATCATTTAAAGAGAATACATACGTAATCCTCTCCTATTTACCTAAAGGTCACTAACAATGCATTGGATGTTCCCTTATACATATGTGTGAGCATGTGCATGAACATATCCCATTTAGTTGTTTCCTTGTATAACTTCAGATAGTAAAAACAGTGCATTTAAGATGGAAATAGAAAAGACAATTAACTCCCTAAGCTTTTTAGATCACTCCCAGTATGGCAACTTTCAAATTATATCAGGGTTTTTAAGTCTTTAAAAAGAAATATATAAATTTTGGTCCAAAACAAAAGCAATACATCATTTTGGTGGAAAAATAAAATTCCCACCACTAGAAAATAGTTATAATGTTGGTTAGTGATGAAGAACATTCTACATACCAACATGAGAATTAAGGTTTTTCCTCCAAAAGGTATATAGTGGCAAATACTTTTAAAAATGTAAGTATACGTATTTATCATTGAATTATTTCAATGGGGGGGGTGGAGAGGAGAAACAATGAACCTACACTGTCTTCTTTTCTTTCTTTTTTTTAATTTTAAGAAACAGACACTTTCCATCTAAATTGTCAGCATAAGGGAGTTTTTAAAAACTACAAAAATTTGGAAACCAATCTGATTCATTTGGTTATGGATATCAAACGGCTATCAGGCTTCAAAAATGGAAATGGAGTAAAGTCAAAATAGTAACAAAAATTATGCTTTGAGCACAGCTAAGGCAGTAACAAGAAAATAATTTGGGGATAAATATAGATACATTAAAGAGATTGTGAAAGATGTAAAATTCAAATCCCCTTTCAAATAAATCTTATCTAAAAGAAGGATTGTAGAAAATGGGAATGTATGATTTTCTTTTAATAAAACAATTCTGCTTCAGTGCAAATGTGTAGTCAAAAAAAAAAAAAAAAAGAAAGGAAAAAAATGTCTCATGTGACTTAGCACGAACAGTTTCCACAGCCCTTCACACTGTTAACAATTTCTTCTTGTAGTTTCTTCCTTTCCTCCTCTTTGGACACATTTTCTTTCTTTGCATCCCATTTGGGATAAACATGGTTCTGCACACGGCTGCTCTGTGTATGCCACATTTCTGAATAGATACTGCCAGAGTTAGCAAGCAAACCCTGGTGGGTACCACGTTCAGCTATCTTACCCTAAAAAGCAAAAACAAGAGAAACATAGAGAAAGATTATATAACTAGCATAATAATTGAAAATATGTAATATTTTCTAACTAAATATGTTGAAGGATTTGCACTCATTAAAATACCTCTCCCAAGTTCTCATCCACAGTATAAGAGGGAAAAATCGAGGTAGGAATGTTTTCTTCACCGTAGAGCTATCAGTCCAGTGAACAAACAAAAATCTCTGAAATTCCATATACCGTAAACCATTTTGCATAGAAGAAATAAAATTTTAATGTTTTATTTTTCATTTTGAAGGGCAGAAAGGGTGAAAATTTTTTAAAGGTGATATTTTCTGTAATCAGTAAATGTTTAAATCAAAAACAGTTATTTATACAAGGATTTAAATGATTTAAAAATAATATCTTGAAATACTTATGTGTATTTTGAAATAAAAAAGATGTCTCCATGAAAAGTTTACTTCTTCCAATAGTTATTCTTATTAACAATAGCTATTAAACTTGACATTGCATAGATTTGGTATAGATTCCAATCTCTTATCCACAATTTGTCTCTTGACAGCTACTGTTAAATATGCTGGGAGACAAAAGGAATTTTGTCACTTTTACTGGTACTCCTGGTGATAGGACCTTTACAGATATACTCTTAAGCAAAATAACTGAAATTTGTCTGTGCCCACTTCTGAGTGGTTAATTGAAGGCTGCCCCCTTGATTGCTGGCTGGGCAGTCTAAGAAAGAACTATTTTGCTCAGCTATTTGAATTCCTCTGGATCTTGAAGAATGTAGCCCTCAACCTTGGTATATGTAGACCACGTCATAGGCACCGAAGTCCCCATGGATTATATATTTTATACTTTTCTATCTACCACTGTCAAAAACAAACAAAATAAAATCCTCAATGAAAACTTCATCAAAATCTATTAGAAAGAATGGAATTATTTTTGTGGAAACACCAATGAAATAAATCACACATAATTTATCCAGTAATAAAAATGTATAAAATATATTTTAAATTATTTTTATTTGTATTAAAGCACAAATACCTTAAAAATACCTTAAAAAGTCAAGTAATATTACAAAGCTTATAACAAAAAGAACAGTCTTTTGCCTCCTCCTTCTCCACTCTTGAGTATCTCCTTCCACTCCCCAAATTCATATCTACTTCTTCTGGTGTTTACATACATGTATATACATGTGCGTGCACACTTGTGTGTGTGTGTATATATATATTTGAAATTTAGCACTCTCATACTATTATACTATCCCACATTCCTCCTGTCTCATTCTTCATTCTCCTAATAACACTGGTTATATCACCACTGTTTAAGTTAATATTCAGTGTTTACCTTATTATGACTATGTAAGTATTACCTGTTGAGCCAAGTAGGTACTAGGATTTTATAGATATTTTCTCATATAATTTTTTATTCTTCTTGGACTTAGTAATTGCCTTGTTTTATCATGTGCTTAGTTTATGTCACTATTGGTAATTCTCTCTAAACTTTTTTCTAGAATTATAAAACTTGTGTGAACACTATTTTTTTCATAATGAACTACATTAGGTAATCTATTAGTTCAATTCTACCCCGCCCCCAGACCCTAGAGATATTCCTCTCACAGCTTTTAGGTTCTCTCTCTCTCTCTTTTTTTTTTTTTTTTGCTGAGGAAGATTCGCCCTCAGCTAACATCCATTGCCAATCTTCCTCTTTTTTTGCTTGAGGAAGATTAGCCCTGAGCTAACATTTGTGCCAATTTCCCTCTACTTTATGTACGGGTCACTGCCACAGCATGGCTGATGAGTGGTTTAGGTCTGTGCCTGGGATCTGAACCTGTGAACCTGGGCCGCCGAAGCGGAGTGTGCTGAACTTAACCACTAGGCCATGGGGCTGGCCCCTAGGTTCTTTTCTTTATCCTCAACTCTGAAATTTTATGATAATGTGACTTGGTGTGTTTTTATTTCCTTCCCATTCATTGTGGTGGGTACTTGGTAGGCCCTTTCAATCAGGAAACTCATGATCTGAAGTTCTGGACAATTTTGGGGTATTATTTCTCTGATAATTTCCTCCCCTTTTTCCTATCCTCTCTTTCTAGAACTAGTCAGATGTTGGATCTCTTAGGCTAATCCTCTAATTTTCTTATCTTTTGTCTATTTTCTCTCTCTTTTTGTTCTACTCTTTGGAGATTTCCTTGACTTTATTTCAGCAATGACATTTTTCATTTCCATAATCTCTTGTTCTCTGGTTGTTCCTTTATTTATTTACCACTCCCATTTTTAATTTTGAAATGTTGCAAGATTAATAACAATGAACACCTATACACGCTTCTCCTAGTTTAGCAACTGTTAATTTTTCCACATTTGCCTTCTCCTACTTCATCCTCTCTCTAATTTTTCATTCTTTTTTGCTAAATCATTTGAGAATGACTTGTGGACATCATTACATTTCACCCCAAAATATTTCATTAGCCTGTATCTCCTAAAAACAAGGACATTCTCCTACATAACTGAAATACAACTATATCACACCCAAGAAATTTATCTAACTTTTAGTCTATGTTCATATTTCATCAATTGTCCCAATAATGTCCTTTGTATATATTTTTTCCATCCAGAATCCAATCAGGATCTATACATTGAATTGGTAAGTTTACTACTCTGTGTGGGTGTGTGACATTGACATTTATTCTAAAATGTCCAGGCTTGTTTTTTAAAGAATGCCTTCAAGTTGTATTTGTCTAGTGGTTCCTGATTATTAGATCCAGGCTAAACATTTTTGGTAGAAACGCAATATAGGTAATGATGTGTCCTCAGTACATCACATCAGGAGGTACATGATGTCAATTTGCTCCACAATTAAGTTTGGTCACTAGGTTAAGGTAGTGTCTACCAGATTTCTCTATTTTAAAGGTACTTTTTCTCTTTGTAATTAATAAGTTATCTATGGGTTATACTTTCGAACTGTGTGAATATTCTATTCCCCAATAGTTTTTCACCATACGGATTTAGCAACCAATGATGATCCTTACCTGAATCAATTATTACAATGGTGGTTGTAAAATGTAATTTTCTAAATTTGTCATTCCTTCTACATGCGTTAATTGGCATTCTTTTTAAAAAAGAGCTTTCCCGTTCTCCAAGATAACTTTTCTTAAAGTATTATTATGGAATTATAGATTAGTTTTTTTATTCAATGTGTTGTAATTTATTAGTATCCTTATTCTTTATGATGTTCAAATTATCCCACATTTGGCCAGTGGGAACCCATTCAAAATAGTTCCTGTGTCCTTGTGATATGTCTTCCTTAGTTTCCCTACCCTAGATTTGGAATCAGTCATTTCTCCAAGGAGTCTTGGCTCCTTTTAGTGACGGATGGTATTTAGTATTTTTAGTGACGGAGAGTGCCCAAGATCTAGGTGTTAGTTATACTCATTGCTCCCGGGATTTCGTTGCTTCTAGGCCTTTCCACTGAACAGAGTTAGGAAATTTTTTTTTCCATCATGAATTCATATTGATAATTCTGTTCCAATATAACATCATACAGTTCCTCCTCTTCTTCTCCCATTCCATATTTTTATCTTTCTTCTCCCAAGTAAGACCTCTGTTTTCCAACAACATCAATATATTTACTCATATGCCCAGTCTTACAATAGACACAAAATAGTTTCAAAATAGCTACAAAATAGCTACTCCCACACTACTACCAACAACAGAGTTCAAATTTTCTTTGAGTTATTTTTGTCCTTATAATATATTCCACTAAGGGTAATTAATCAGAGTAATGTATTCAAAAGTTACTTGAATTAATTCTATTTTTCTTCTGCATGGTTATGTTATCAATTTGTTATGCAGTTATCTTCACTTCTTTTTGTTTGTATTCAATTTTTGTGTTTCCCCATTCTTGCTGATCTTTAAATTTTTGAATATATAAAAACATTAGCATGGTTCAAAAATCAAAATAATATAAAAAATATAATCAGGAAAGTCTTGTTCCCTCCCCTATCTCTTCTACCCCTTTTCTATCCCAACTCTGTAGGTAGCCAATTTCTTTAGTTTCTAGTTTATTCTCCCTGCGTTTCTTTTTGCAAAAATAAGTAAAAATACATATGTTCTTTTTCTCTCCATCCTCCTTGCAAAAGGTAGCATACTATATACTCTTTTGCATCTTTCTTTCTTTCATTTAACAACATATCCTGGAACTCATGCCATGTAAGTCTCCTTTATGTTTTTTCTTAACAGCACTTGTTCTTATTTTAGAAATGCTATATTTTCCATGACTTTTGATGATATTAATTATATTTTTTAAGTTTTCTTATGCTCTTTGCATTGTCTACATTTTCTACTGAGTTTCTTTTTTCTGCTTGTTTTGGAGGTCTTCCTTTACTATCCACTGACACTTAAGAATGGAGCATTAAAAAGCTGACTAGAAGCTCTGTGTGCATGGAAGTGGGCTTTTCAACTGTTGGGTTTCACTGTAGGATGATCATGTAGGTATCTGGTCATTTTGTTGGGGTATCCAAATACGAATATCTTTTTTTCTGGAGCTACTTTTTTTCTCCAGAGAGGAATTCTCCAATTATCTGCTGATGAGGGAAGGAGTGGTGACAGAAATAAACAACTGGTTGTCAAAGTTCTTGGAGCCAGTGGCAAAAGAGAGTCTCTGGTCTTATTCTTCTCTATGATTTGATTTCCAGTTAATCCTGCCCCTCTTTGTTAATGTGCTTGGTAGTTTTCTTGTGTCCAGAGCCTCTCTGACACAATTTATGGACACATAAACCTCAAGCCTTTTGCCAAGGCTGGGAAGGGGTAATCACCAGGCTTCAAGGGGTGAGAAAGGGCCTTGGGAACTCTTATTTCTTATGTAGATTTAACCTTAATACTACAAGAAACTGCTGACAGAACACATGAGGTCACATTAGTTTCACCAGAAAATGAAAATCTCTGATCTTCATAATCTAGCAATTATAGAATCATCAAATTATAAACATAGAGAGATTTCAGAGACAGGTGCTATGATCATTAATAAATTAGTTTCAATTATAATCCAAACCCCAAGTGGCAATGTTGTGATATAACTATATAGCTACTGTTAACCTCATGGCATGAAGCAGTTAAGCACATGCCTGCTAAAGTACTTGTAACATTTTATATTTATAAGAAAAGGCTCTATGTGCGTGACTACATACAATTAGAAAGTTTAGTTTAAAGCACAAAACAGCAGATTTCATTTCAGATTCTTGAGCATCAATGACATAATAAAGTATATTTACAAAATTTCCCATTTAAGAAATTCTGGTACAATCATAATGAAAAAATCACTTTATTATCTAATGAATGTAAGCATTTATGAACAAACCAACAAAAAGACCTAGGGTCTTAACTGTACAGGTAATTTGTAAAGGAAGTAACATATACACCACAGAACTGAACACCCTATAAGAAATTTTAGTGGTGTGAAAAATTCTCTCTCAATAACTCAATATAGAAAGTATGTGAGAATGCTGCTTCTCTCTTAACACCCAGTACTCACGCTTTCAAAATGATAAAGAAATGAAAGTTTATATATCATAAAGGAAAAATAATCATAGAGAAGGCTGAATGGGAGGTGAAAAACTGAACAACGTTAGAAATAATCAAGTAGTGTGAGGTGGGGAAAAGATGTCCTCACAGAGAGGAGAAAAGGAAAACTATTACAATTTTCAAATCTACCAATCACAATAGTGGTACTCTGATTTGTTCAGAACATTTAGACAGCACACTCTTATAGTAATTTCCTCAGAAGAGATAAAGCAGGCTGTCTTTTTTCTTACTTTCCCCATGAGGAAAAATATAAAATAAAAATGGCCATGTTTGAAACTGACCACTTTATTTTATGCTAATTTTCTTTTAGACATCAAGGGTATGTGCAAATATTACAAAAAAGAAAATAGAACACACAGTAAACACATTGAGCAAAGATTCTGTACAGAGCAAAAATGAATGCAGAAAAATTATTTTATATATATACCCTTTAAAATCTGCCTCTATCATATAAGGATTTAATGCTTTCCTGATCTAACTTTGCTTTTAATACTTTAATAAAGAGTGAGTTAATACAGTTTATTCCTGCTTGGAAGTGGCATTATTTCCTATCAAAAGGAGGTAAAAATGGAATCCTATCAGGATTCAATCTCATTCAAAGAACACAAATCCTGTTTATTTCTTTAGAAACAATATTTAAGTTGCTTGTGTTTGTAACAATTGCCAATATTCTTCAAATACTAAACTTAAAAGTTAAATCTCTTACCTGGTCCAAGACAATGATTTCATCTGCATCAACCACTGTTGATAATCTGTGTGCAATGAAAATAGAAGTTCTGTGTTTGACCGCATCCCTCATGGCACCAAGAATCGTCTGCAAGTTTGACAACAAGAAGAGTGGGAAGGAAAAAAATATTTATCTATTTGATACATATAAATTAAAATAACCATACATTTCTTAAAGGCACATATAAAATGCCAATTAATTTTGTATTATATAAACCTTATACTACTACCAAATATTTGACCTAATCTAATCACTAAGAGGAGGAGAAAATTGATCAAAAAGAGAAGGCAAATATGACCATATTATCATGGAAAATATTATCTTTAAGATAGGTAACACTTCTTTAAATTATAGTCTGGAGGAGGTAGATATTTTCTATACTTAAAGACAAACAAATAATAATGATGAATCCAGTGATATCAGGAGCATAGCCAGATATGATGTTTATCTGCCCAATGAGAGCAAAAATAAAATGAGGAGGTACTCAAGTGATAGGATGCAGAGAAATTCAAAAAATCAAGAGATAGGAGACTCAAAGTGTATACGAGCATTTGTTTTTCCTTAGTTCAAACTCAGAGGAGAGAAAGGGTGACAAAGACTAAAGTTATGTTTAAAGACTAAAGACTAAACTGTATGTTTAACTTGAGGAAACTTCATATTCAAAAGCATTCTGACTTCTTAATGCATTCCGGAAAGTACATTTTTGTTTACCGCCTGTAAAGTATGAGAGCTGTCTATATATTCAGCTATACTTGGAAACCTGGGTGTAAGTACAGCTAGCTAGATGGAAAGAGCAGTGTAGGGGAATGGGGACAATGGCTTCCTAGAGATATTTCTAAACACTGTGTTTATTAAAGGAATAAAATGTTAAGAGTAGATTGTTACCCAGGAAAAGAAGACCTTAAATTTTACAAGGGCAGACTGAAAACCAAGTGCAAGGCCAATTCTGAGAAAAAATATATTTTTGGGGACTCCTCTTCCTTACCCTCAAGAACTTAAACTCTGACATCCTACCGAGTGCCCTAGACTTTTTAAAAAGGTCCATTAAAATATACCAAATCTTCTGGTAATTCATTCCCTTCAGGGAGGGTCTCTGCTAGCTCTTAACGCTCTATGAGATATTAAAGCTATGTAACTCAAATAATGACTGTTAGGACTTTTAATTTGTGGTAAATGTGGATGACATAGTTTTAGGTATATAAAAGTTCTTGTAACCAGATTCCTACCCTGCCTGTGAATGGGGTCTGGTCCTGTGTAAGGTTCCCTTTAAATATAACAAATTCTCATGCTAAACAATTCACTTAGAAATTAAACTGTTTTAAACATATGGCAGATCAAATAATATGCTCTGAAATTTAATTCCATATGCAAATATTATGTTATACATGCTGTAAAGCCAAAATTAGGCCTCTCCTTCAATACTAGATTTTTACTTATAGTCAAGTAAAACATAGGTGAATGGAGGCAACTGACAAATCACATCTGTCTATTTTGAGTTCTAGATTAAGGGGATTTGCTCATGAAGTTATCACTGCTGTTAAGACTTTTGTATTTAATGCAAACATGTTGTTATGAAGTCTAATGTAGTTGCTGGGTAGTACCATGACTTCAGTGTCACAACATTTTGGTGTTTCACAATACTTGTGAAATGAATATAGATTGACAGCAGCACTGCAGGCTGTGTGTGCCTGACTTGCACCTCAGTAAGCTGCTCCATGATAAATGAACGGCTTTCTGGTATGTATTGTGTCACAATCATTTACACGATCTGTTTTAATGAGTGTTCAGTGGCAACAGCAAAAAGACTAAAACCTTCTTCCTTTTGTCAGCAGATGAGGCAATTCCTACAGCTCTATAAAATGCAAGGGTAATACAACAAGAGCATAAGATGTCACACAGTTCCAAAAGGAGACATGTTTGCAAATGGACTTAACAATGCGATAGTTCAATGCAACCTGGCATTCTTACTATTATCACTTGCTATATGGGGAAAAAAGGGCTAGGTATTTTGCTCTATGGTACCCCCAATTGAAGTTCATTCAAAATACAGAAGAATGTAACCATTTTACTGAAACTTTCAGGGAGAAAAGTTAAGCACTGGGAATTGAAGAGCTTTGTATTTTCATCATCATTTACCTCTTCAGTAATTGAATCTAATGATGAAGTGGCTTCATCATAGAGAATGACTGGGGGGTCCTTCAAAATGGCTCTTGCAATTGCTACTCTTTGCTTTTCTCCTCCTGGTAAAGAAAAATTTTAGTTTAAGAAAGGATAAATAAAGACATACTTTATGTTTTTAGTATTTTCATTGATTACAACCATCAAGTAATACCTTCAACATTTACCTCTACTCCTGACCACTGTTCATTTTACTCAATTGTAAGAGTCTAAGTTCATAGATAACATCCTTTGACAAATTATATTCCCTGGAACATAAATGTAAATCTGGCTTCTCACTTCATGGCAGGCAAAAAGAATGAGGAGGGGAGGTAACAACTTTGATTCCACAATTATTCTTCTCACCAGAAATATGCTCATTACATATGTTACTTTATATGTACTTTATATTACTTCCCAATGAATAGCAATTCACAAAAATTTCAATATTAGAGAATCAACAAAGCCAAAAATAAATTCAGTATCTGAAACCTGAAAACTTACAGACATGTAACTATAAATATCTAAATTTATCTCTTAACATAAAAAAGTATTCAGCCAGTATACTCAAGGATTTTTTTTTAACAGAAAGCTATTTTCACAGTACTTTTCAGTGTTAAGGGTACATTCTAGATACCCCTTATTTCACCTTAGTTATTTGCTATAGATCTCTAGCATAGTACAATTTTAAAACAGAAAGGAAACAGAGGCCCAGAAAGGTTAAGTGATTTGCTCTAGGTAACAAAGCAAGTTCCAGCAGACTCTCGACTAGACCTGGCAAACTCCCAGTCCAATGCTCTTCCTATCACAATGTGCAAGCCCACATTTATTCCTAAATACACTCTAGTGAAAATAAAGTAATCTGTTTCTTCTCTAGGACTTTTGTAGGTCTAAGGTCATCAATCTTACATAGAACTATGGTTGGAAGTATAGAAGATGGTTCTTTGATGAATATGCCCCTTTTGGCTTCTTTTCTTGTCCATTATCCATTAACTTATAAAAGTCTGAAAAAACTTACATTTTTCAGCTTCGGTAACCTCTTCAGGAAACAAGCTCCATCTGTTGATTATCTGGTACACCAAGTATTTCATTTTTATTTGCTCTGCAATTATTATCTTCAACATATAAAGGGGACTCCTTATGTCTATTAGTGAATAACTTCATGTTCATGCTATTCACACTCCTCCCCATTTCATAAGATCAAATTCTCCTATCAAAGCAGGCACCACGCCAGAACTATCTGCTTACCCACCTAGCAACTCAGCAGCAGAAAGCTCCTACAAGAAGCAGATACTCAGAGGAAGAACTAGTTTTGACATACCTCCCAAATTTCAAGTGGAAACCAACCCAGTTTCAATTCTATTCGATAGAATTTGGAACTTGGAGAAGAAACATTTGTTTGTTCTCTATCATAATTATTAGCATAGATGTTAAATAATAATTGCTCGTTTTAGAGGTCTGGTTATAAGGCAATGGGTATTAGGTAAGAATAAAATTTCTTTAGCCATTCCTACCCCCAAAGGCATGCAGAGAGGGAAAAAATGGAAAATGGAATGCAGCATAGCTATCTGATGCAAAGTCATGTGTTGAGAGGGCTAGTCTATGCTATGTGATGAACTGGGGATCTCTAGAATTACCCAAATGGACAAATAATCTGGGGGTGGGTTAGTTAATTGGAAACTACTCCTATTAAGAGCAATGGTAAAGTATAAAGGTAGAATGGAATGATGCAGGCATCTTATACTACCAGGTAATGACCAAATAACTACTACAAACCAACTTCACTTGAAAATAATCTTTGCTTAACATTTTCTAAACCTGTATCAAAACAGTCTAATAGACTGCAAATTCCTTGAGAGCAGGTCCATTTATGTTTCACCTTTTAAAATCTCAAATAATTTAGCAGAGTAGCTTGCACACAGTCTATACCTAATCAATGTTATGAATAAATGAAGCCAGTGTGTAAAGAGGAGGAATGGGGATTCATTCAAGTTCATGCAGAGTATTCTTCATTCTCTTTTTGCCTTACCCCCATCCATAGTCTATACATTTCCTCCCCAAACTAAGCTACAATAAAGAATAAATGTAAAGGATATAGTATGTTTGTATGAGTTACATTAATACTTTCAGGCATTAGATATCGTTATACTTTCGGAATTCACATAATTTGGGGCAAAGAAACATTTTTATGGATCCTCCAAAAAATTCACAGTCATTTTAGGATAATTCATTAATAAATCTAGCAATATCATAATTAAACACTTAAATAGAAATGTACAAACCCCAAAATTTACTTTACCACTGAACCAATGACATAAAAATAAAGTTGGCTGTAAGGAAAATATAGTAGTTAAGTATATCAAGCATAAGGAGGTCTCAAGTATTGATAACATCCCATAATGATCTAGGAAATTATGATGAGATGCACTATTTACTGTTGAATTACTTCTCCCTACTCTTACTACTTTCCCAGGTGAATAATGATCTTGGCTTTCCTTTAATATTAGGATTATGGATAATAAGCTAACAATAATCTGAGCAGACATCAGTAACTTACTATTAAGCACTTACAATATTTGCAGCTGCAAGTGAAAAAAAAGACTTGTGTGACTTTAGAACAGTTACTTCTAGTATGTTGAACAGTTTACAGTGATGGATAGGACACTGGGGACCTTGTCTAAAGCAACCAGATGAGAACTAGGTTTGTACTTTGTCACTATATTTTTTAGAAAATGGCTTGGACATATTAAAGTTTGAAGGAAGTATCCAAATGGGGGTGGGTCTAAAATCTTTGATTACCTGAAAGCTTGAGTCCTCGTTCCCCTACTTGGGTGTCATATCCATGTGGCATTCGAAGAATTGCATCATGGAGTCCAGCTAATTTTGCCACTTCATATACTTCCTCAGGTGAAGCATTGATATTTCCATATAAGAGGTTGTAGTAAATGGTATTATGGAAGAGGACAGCATCCTAGAGTAGATTTATATATACATACATATATATGTATGTCCATTATAAAAAATTCAAACAAGAGTAAAGACATAAAGGCATAAGAAGATAACATGATAACTCCTTTTATCACCCCCCTCATCCCTGCAATCCCATTTCCCTTCCCAGAGCTAATCACCATGAACAATTTGTTGTGTATCATTTCAGACTTTTTTCGATGCATTTATATGCCTAAACATATACTGTTTTTTCCAACACGAGTGGGGCCATACTATATATATTATTTTGCAAATTGCTTCTTTCACTTAACATATCCTGGAGATTGTTCATGTCAGTAAGAGAAACCTGCCTCATTCTTTTTAACAGTTGTATGATACTAAGGATGTATCATAATTTATTTATCCATTCCTCTATTGTACTTTAATGATGTACATTAATGTAGTTTCCAAATTTTTGCTACTACAATCAATGCTGGGATAAAATATCATTGTATATATGACTTTATGCACCTGTGTGTTTCTGTAAGAAGGATTCCTAGAAGTAGACTGATGAGTTAAAAGGTAAGCATATGTTTATCCTTTGATAGTATTACCCATTGTCTTCCAAAAAATGCTGCAACATATACATGCCAACCAATACTGTATGAGGGTGCCAGGTCTCCATCCTCAGCAACTTGATATTAATAAGGTTTAGTTATTGCTACTTTTAGAAGTAAAATGTGCTTTTTGTTTAAATTAGCATTTCCCTAATTACTAATGAGGTTGAATATGTTTTCATATGTTTCTTAGAAGCTTTTAAATTGGACTTAAAGAAAACAAAGAATTTATGCATCATAGATTTCTTTTTTGGAGAAAGTTCACTGCACGCATTCATTTGATATTTCAACTTATTCTGATATGGCACACTAAAGCTAGTTTACTTAAAGTGAGCATCCATCTCCCACTTTTCTTTCAGTCTCCAAATGGTTGAAAGGTACTAGTTTCAACTATTAGTTCACATTAACCAGGATACTAATTAATTAAGATCTTCTTCAACATCATAATCAGCCCCATAGTTTCAGATATTATTTAAAATACTATTTTAATCATTTATATACCTACTATTAACATAAATTTTTCTTGCACTGAGAGGGTACTTAAACCCAATGAGATTAAAGTTCTATAAAGAGAAAATACTTATTTTTTAAATATTTTATATTCAGAAAAAAGTTAACAAACAAATGCTAACTGGAAACTTTAAAAATAGAAAAAAAAGGTAAAATAAAAATTAATTAAATAATTCATTATCCCACCATCCAGCAATAACTACTATTAACATTTTGGTGTATTTTCTCCTATCTCTTTTCTCTACTTATATGTATTCATTTAATATTATAACATTGGGATATTATATTTCGTTTTGTATCTTCTTTTTCAAAAAACTTTTTATCTGAGTATTTTTCCATGATACTCAATATTCTTTACAAATACAATATTTATAAATGGCTGTATGACATTTGATCCTATGATGATAATTTAACCATTTACTTATCGTTGGATATTTATATTGTTTACAACTTCTGCTCTTATAAATAATGCTGTAATGAACATCTTTGCATATAAAAATCTGTTTATTTCCTTACTAAAACGTCCTAGAGGCAGAATTATTGGAATAAAGGGCATGACTATTTTTCAGGCTCTTGATACATACTACCAATTTGCTTGTCAGGAAAGATGTATACTTCCACTGGCAAAACAACAGACTGGCCATTTCACACAGTCTTGCCCAAACTAGATATTATGAATTTTAAAATCCTTGCCAATCTGACAGGTGAAAAATGGTATCCCATTGTTGATTTAATTTATATTGCTCAGACCTCCAGTGAGGATGACCACATTTTCTTTAGTTTATTAACCATACATATTTTCCCTTAGTGAATAAGATGTTCTATTTTTCAAAAGGACGAGGGTAATTGTTACATAGCCCAAGAGAATGGCAGGAATCTAGTTACAAGGATGATGACACTGAGCCCTAAGTAGGCACAGCCCAGAATTCAGTTCACTTGATACACAGTTTAGGTCAGTGTTTCCCAACATATAGTCTACAAATCATCTATATCAGAATCACCTAGGAGGCACATTTAAAAATGCAGGTTTCTGGGCTCCAAACTGCCCTCTTAAACCAGAATTAAAGTGCGTGAAAGAGAGTTGGAATTTCAATAATCTCCCTAGGTACTTCATGCACACTAACATTTGGGATTCCCAGTGAAAGGGAGGACAGGATACAGTGGCATGTGTCAGATCACTTGGGGACTTTTTACAAGCTACATATCCCTGTCTGATCCCTTTCTACAGTTCTTCCAGGGATTTGATTCTGATTCTAGGCTGCAACTAATTCCCAGGTCTCTCTATTGGCTTTCACCATAAGAAAAACTCACATCCTATAAGGCTATCTTCTTGTCTTCTCAGATCTTACTCTGAATTTATTTTTCCCCCTAAAGTCATTCAGCAAATACTTGTTAAATGCTTACTATGGGTCAGGCACTGTGCTTGATACTGAGGGGTTAGTGGTGAACAAGGCATACAAACTTGAAGTTAGCAGCCAAACTGCTTTGTAATTTTTATAAATTTACTATGTCAAAAACGATTCAAAATTGCAATAATAGTTTTCATTTACTGAACATTTACGTGATGGACATTGTACTTGGTGCTTTACACATATTATCTCTAATCCATAATAATTCTATCCTATAAGAGAAATGGTATCCTTATTTTATAGATGAGGAAACTTGAGGCCCAAGACCACAGAACTTATAAAGGTTAGAGCTGGGGTTAGAATCCAGTTCTGTTTGAATCCAATCTGGGCTCTTTCCTCTATATTATACTATCTTTCTAAGGCTTAAAAAAGCTTTCCATCATGCAGATTTTCCACTCATGTTTTTTAAGTCTTTTTGGTAACAGAATTTGACCTGCAGGGCCTAACACTTTAATTAGCATATATTGACTCCTTGGATTCAAATTATTCTAGTAAAAGACCCACCAACCCAATAAATCTTCCCCCAAATAGGTTTTTTCCTTTTTTAAATACCTGAGGTACCACTCCCACTGCCTTCCGAAGGCTTTCCAGACTCACATCTTGTATATTTTGACCAGCAAGGTAAATGTTACCCTTTTGAGGCTCGTAGAAGCGAAACAACAGCCTCACTATTGTGCTTTTCCTGAAATTGGAGACAAGGAAAAGTTATTTAGCTCCTACTGGCATTAGGGAACCCCTGTTTTAAACCACAGTAATCATTTTCTTATGATAAAGAAAAAATATTACATTGGGAATCATCAAGCAACGATGCAGAATTTTAAAAATAACTAAATTACCCACCCTGACCCACTACCTCCTACAATGGCCACTTTCTTTCCTGCAGGGACTTCAAAAGATATTCCACTAAGGACTTTCTGCCCCTCAATGTATTCAAAATGCACATTATCAAAGGCCACCGTAGCTGTCTGTGGTGTGATCTGAAGGGGAGATACCATCGCTTTGTCCTAGTAGGGAAGAGAAAAAAAAAGCCACTTTACACACTGCCTAGAGTACAGCTATGCAGACAATTGTCTAATTCACGGAGAGAAAAAGGAAAATAATGGGGAAGGAGGAGGTTTATAAGTGGAGTTAGACCACTTCCAAGAATGCTTTTAAAGATTTGTTTTTTCACTTCTCACTAACCTGAATGCTTTGATTTCTGGGTAATATTTTTGGGGGGGTTGTTGGGGGATGGTGGGCAGGGGAATAAGGAGGTCGAGGATGTGAGGAGAGGGAATCACACATTTTATATCATTATTAGCAAAAGTAAATCAAGTGCAAGTACAAATAATTCAAGTTAGCCAAATTTAGCTTCTATGTATAATATTCTTTGCTAACATTGTAAGGTTTCTAAACAATAAGTAAAAGCTATAACAACCTCTTAATACACATGATAGTCCCAATTCCTGCAAAAAAGAAATTGGTTTGCTAACATGGTGATGTAAAAATATTCCCCTAAAATAATCCTATTAATGGGATGATGCTCACATGCTTCTAAAAAGGTACTAAATAGATTACTTACTTTAATTCGGGTGTCTACCTTGAGTAGAGTAAACAAGGTGTTCATATCTATGAGTGCTTGTCTAGTTTCTCTATATACAGTTCCCAGAAAGTTAAGGGGTAATGAAAGCTGAAAAAGCAGTCCATTCACCATTACTAGATCTCCAACAGTAAGGGTACCTTAATATGCAGTTGGCAAAAGAAAAAAAAAAAAGGATATTTTAGATGTTATGAACGTTTCCAGTTTAAGAAAGAGAAGTTTATAGTCTATTACTCTGGAATACAGTTCAAAATGTACATAATCAGTGACTCTTAGGCCTACTCAAATTTCAACGCATTTTAATCCATGATTTGGGAATACACGGAACTTGATATATGCTAAATCAAACAGGAAAAGCTCACGTATACACTACACATTATATACAAAAAAAAAATGATTTCAGTGAGGATAGAAATAGAAGGCTAAAAATCTCTCCTTTCTTCCTAAGACACTAGCAAGTTTCTTTGGAATGTAAAATAGAAATTTTAAAAAAGAGTATATACTAAAAAATTGGAGCAAATGTATCATGATTGGGAATGATAAACCAAGTATTAAGGTCACAGTGAATGAATGAATCCTAACTGAGCATGCAAGTTACAGAAAAGAGGCAGAGACATTATTTACTTTTGAAATGTTCTGCAAATGAAAAACTAATAGAAAGATTAAAAGATTACTAGTAATTCTAAAAAAAGATTGCTTGCATTTTAGTCCTTTGGACTAAAAACTAAACTAATTACATTGTTTTTATTAGATGTTAAAAAAAAGTTACTCCTGAAAGAATCAGGTTGTAGCCCTACAAAATGTATAAACAGTAATCTCAATCAATGAGAGAGCTAGTGCTACACTTGTAGTGTTAAACAAAAGGAAGTAAAACAACATTATCAAAAAACAAGAAAACACATTCTGATACAAAAAGGAAAGTACTCCAAGGATGTTAAAGCACCTTATTGAATATGCTTTATAATTAAGACTAATATACACATTCCTTTCATTAATCTTTATTTATAAAGGTTAAATAAAACATCTATAAATGTGAAAACTGCAGATCCATTACCTGCCACAATTCCCTGACTGGCAAGCACCATTATAGCTGTTAAACCAACACTGAAAATAGCACTTTGACCGAAGTTCAGCATAGCCAGAGTAGAGGTACTTTTCAATGAAGCAGTCTCATATGTCTTCAAAAATCCATCATATCTTTGTGCTTCATAGTTTTCATTATTAAAATACTACGAAATATACAAAAATAGTAACTACATACAAGTATAATTGGAATTTATTCTCTTCAGTGATGAGTATCCTCTTCATCAGACTTCATGTATGGATACAATTTTGTACTGCATACTCCATTTTAAAAACTGACTTTCAATATATTCGATTGTGGCACTCCTACAGTTCTCCATAATGGACTGTATTTGAAAAGTTCATAAAATTCATCCCACAAACATTTACTGAATGCCTAGTTAATTTAAACTCAGATCTAAAAAAGCCATCAATGCCACTTCCTTCACAAAGCATTCCCTTGATCCCCTGAGACTCTGAATTGACAGTTCTCATTGCCCCCACCACATTATGCCTTCTTGTATAGTCATCTGCATACTTACTTTAACTCTCCCAGTAGATTAGCAAATTCTGGGAGGGCGAGGATTAAATATTAATCATTTTTTTACCACCCTCCCCCACTACAGGACTTAGCATAATGCTTTGCACACAGGAGGCATTCAGTAATATTTGTTAAATGAAAAAATGAACGGATAAATGAAAAATTAATCAAAAGCACTATGCTAGGCACTGAGGGAGAATCAAGAACTTACATGCCATTTTGATTAGCTTAGTGTTCATTCTGAGTCAAGATGCTAACTGTACTTTTATCACTTATAAATTATTTCAGAAGGTAAAATTCTGATGATGCCATACAAAAACTGAGGTGGAAAGAAAGGGCAATTTCTAAACAAAAGAATAACAATAAAGAACTATTATTCCATCACACCTAGAGATCTTATCCTAATCTGAAGCTCTAACTTACAGCACCTATTAAATTAAATGGCAGAACAAATCTTAGTGCAGTGTTAAAGGCAGAGGAAAGTATAATTAAACACATTACCTTCACAGTTTCATAATTCAGCAGCGAGTCTATGGCAGCATTACCTGCATCATTATCCGCTTTGTTCATTTCTATTCTAAATCTAGTTCTGTAAGACAAAGATTTGCATAGGCATGAAATGTTTGCTATAAAAGCATAATTAATCTCTAAACCTTGACTGGCCTCTGGAGAATACCTACCTCCACCGTGTGACGGCAACTGTGAATGCTGTGTACGCACCAAGTGTCCCAAGAGTCACCAATGCAAACTGGGCACCACATCTGTAATACTGGAGAAGGCAAAAGAAGAAATGAGAAACAGTCATTGTCCTTGCCAAATAGTTTTTATTATACAACAGCAAATCTCAGTCAAAATATTTTAATAAAAAATATGTTGGTGGAAGTTGTATAAACGAATAATTTCTCAAATACCTTAGAAAATCTACTTTAAGTAACAAGGGAAAAAAGCCAAACTGCACTTGCCACATTGATACCACTGTCAAATGATGATGATAAAAATAGTACAATAAGCCTTAAGAGGAATAAAAAAATATATATACACTTTTAATTATAAAATATGAAATTGCCTAAAATTTTATGAGTGGTGAATAGAAACCTAGATAATCTGAGCACACTAGTCCAAAGTCATACACAAAAATCTCTGCTAACAAAAAAATTGCAAGCACTAAATGGCTCTATGTATAGAACTGAATTGCTCTTTACAATAACAACATGAGAAAGAATTTGGACAGTTCTTTGAAGCTTGTGGCAAAATAATTAAAAGAATGGCATATTGGGGCCAGCCCGGTGGCACAAGCGGTTAAGTGCGCTCACTCCGCTGCGGCGGCCCGGGGTTCGCTGGTTCGGACCCTGGGCGCGCACCGACGCACTGCTTGGCAAGCCATGCTGTGGCAGCGTCCCATATAAAGTGGAGGAAGATGGGCACGGATGTTAGCCCAGGGCCAGTCTTCCTCAGCAAAAAAAGAGGAGGATCGGCAGATGTTAGCACAGGGCTGATCTTACTCACAAAAAAATAAAATAAAATAAAGTGATAATCTTAAAAAAAAAAAAAAAAGAATGGCATAATCCCTCTGGCACCATGGAATTTTGCTCTCAAACCATGGACATGCAATAGCACAACAGCTTGAAGTACTAAATAGCTACTAATGAGAATGGAAGATAAAAGCTTGTTATGAAAAATGTTTTACTTACCAAAACACCACTGACAAGAGTCACCTCAAACATGATGGGAAGAAGATTAAATACTAAAGCACTCAGGACAAAACTGATACCCCTTGTCCCTCTGTCAATAGCCTTTGATAAAGCTCCTGTCTGTCTGCTCAGGTGGAAAGCCAGATCCAGGTTATGAAGATGGAGAAAGACATTTTTGGCTATTCTTCGGATTGAATTTTGGGCTACCTTGCCAAATACTGCATTTCGAACTTCATTAAAAAAGGCAGCTCCAGCTCTTGATACACCATCTAACAACACATTCAAGAGAAAAAATGGGGTGTAAAAACATTAGAATCATAGGAGTGTAAAACCGGTGAGGGCTCAGAAAATGTTTGTATAATGAATAAATATATCATGGAAGACTTACACTAAAAGAAACCTAGAAAGCGTCTAGCCTAGTGACTACCAATCTTTCCACCATGGATCCCTTTCAGCGTTGTTTTCCCCTATAGATTCCAGATGTTGAAAGATTTTTTCCAACTAAACAGTTTTAAAAAACAGCAGTCCATATGATCCAGCTATTCCACTGTTGGGTATTTATCCAAAGAACTTGAAAACACCAATTTGCAAAGGTACATGCACCCCTGTGTTCATTGCAGCGTTATTCACAATAGCCAAGACTTGGAAGCAACCTAAGTGCCCATCAAGGGACGAATGGATAAAGAAGCTGTGGTATATATACACAATGGAATACTACTCAGCCATAAGAAATGATGAAATCCAGCCATTTGTGACAACATGGATGGACATTGAGGGTATAATGCAAAGTGAAATAAGTCAGAGGGAGAAGGTCAAATACCGTATGATTTCCTTCATTAAGTAGTAGATAATAACAACAATAAACAAACACATAGGGACAGAGATTGGATTGGTGGTTACCAGAGGGGAAGGGGGGAGGGAGGAGGGTGAAAGGGATAATTTGGTACATGTGTGTGGTGATGGGTTGTAATTAGTATTTTGGTGGTGAACATGATGTAATCTATGCAGAAATAGAAGTATAATGATGTACACCTGAAACTTTTACAATGTTATAAACCAATGTTACTGCAATAAACAAAAAATTTAAAAAAAATAAATAAAAAAAAATAAAAAATAAAAAACTGCAGTCCATATGGCCTTATTGTGGATAAATGTACAGTATCTGTGGAGGTTTTCTGCTCTAATTCAATTCCCCCAAATAACAAATGATAAAATTGAGATCCTGAAAAGTCAAGTGCCTTGACTAAAGCATACCCCAACTCAAGTCTCCTTAGTCTCATAAAGTGTCCTTTCTAATGCATGGGGACACAAGGCATCATATTCCGTTCTTCAAATTGTAGATCTGTGTCATAGCTATTGAATACAATTTAATAAAGCATCAATGCATGTATATCATTATTTAGATATTTCCTATTTAACAGCTAACAACAAGAGTAATAAAATAACTAATCTGACTGCAAAGGTATTTTATAAGGAGCCTAACTATTAGAAGTGGTTGTTATGAATTTAATGTTTTATTTCATGTTATTGTTTTCTAGGACTTGGAAAATGAGACTGTTATTACAGAATTTTTGGAAAAGTATATCATAAAAGAACTTTAAAAAACGACATATCAAAAAAAAATCTCACATAAAACGATAAACATCCAAAATGCTAAGTTGTGTTTGTGGTGAAAAGGTCATCTGCTCAAATATGATAAAACCCTCTAGAAGAAAGTCAACACCTGTAAACAGATTAAAGAATCACACATACAGCCAATCAGAACTGCCGTTGCCATGGTTGCAACTGTATTTGGTGCATCACTCAGGTTCAGCATGTTTCCTGACATCTGGTTGAGGCTGTCTACAGCATATTTAAACATGAAGGGAACCACAATATTCATGGCCTAAAAAACACAAAAGCAGCAATTACCCACCATATATAATATATTTAGTTATAAAAGTTCAAATATTTACCTTAAATTAGCATTTATGGGAATGTTTAGATATTAACCATTTACTAGTATTGGAATGATTTTCCCAGTTTATAAGATAAAATCTTTGGTATTGGGAGAGCTGTCATTTCAGGATTCCTACCTCACACTGACTGCCATGTTAATATTCATTTATAAGCTATGTGCATTAGTCAAATACTCCTGCCTGCGTGAAATCATCGCTGATCATCCACTCAAAAATGCTCTCTCCATTATCTGAAATCCTAAAATCTCATGTCACTTATAGCAAACTGCCTTATATTGTACTTATTTGTGTATATATTTTTCTTTCCTACTAGATTCTTGAGGGTCTGTGTCATATTCCTCTTCTTGTCCCATCCATGTTGAGTACAATGCTTTGTATATAGTAGGTATTCAATAAATATACGTAAAATTATTTGTTCACCAAAATAATGGTAAAACTGAAATTATATAGCAAAAAGGATCTCAAAAGCAGATAAATTACGAGTATCTGTGGCTGATTCACCAGTGGGGGGAAAAAAAACAACACTGATAGATCTATTTGCCCCACAAAAAGATTCCTTTGCTCCAAAATCATACAAAACAAAACCCACTGAATAACAAACTAAGCTTTCGAAAACCAACCTATTTCTCCATGAGAATACACCAAAAAATATGAAAGTTAGGCTATAATGCTTTCATATATTTAAGGCAAATATTCAATCAATCACGTTTCAAATTTTCTCCAAAGTTATAGTATCAAAAACACCAACCATCATTTAGAAACAGGAAGTTGGTTAGACTGTGAAAGTTTTCTTTGAAGAAATTAAATTCATATACATTAATAACACGTGAAAACAATTCAATGCGGCTTAATAGAAACAATGAAATCACAGCTCTTTTTAATGTTCCATTATTATGTCATTCATCTTTGTTAAACATAAAGAATTTATTGTCAACGAGCCTAAGTTAAGCTACAACTGACAGGAGCTATGTAAATCTTAACAATCAAGCTTTCAAAGCCAGGTATACAAGCGCCTTAGCAACCAAGCAGGTGCTCTAATATTCAACAGTATCATTAAAACACACAGCAGATGTTGGGACACTTTTAAGAATATAACTATATGGGGTAAATTGCTTAAAACTTTAAGATTTCTAACTTCCAAAATATAATCTAATAGAACAGCAAGTTTCAAGTAGTATAAATTTCTCATTTGTGATTCCCATATAACCATATAACCTCAGGCTCTTGCTTCTGCTTCAAATCGTCTCCCCACTCAATTTACCTTTCCATTCTTCAAAATTCACTTTGAATCCCATTCCCATCACGATGCCTTCTCTGAAAGCTGCAGCCCATTTGGCACTTTCCATTTTCCAACTCCTCTTTTTTATAGTTTACACCTCAGTATTTGCCATTTTTATTATATATTTATCATTCACTTTGTCTGTGGGTGCATGTGCATGGATATACTGCTTTCTCAACCTCACTGGAAACCTTCTGTGGCAAAACAAACATTTTGTGAACAACAGCTATATGAGTCGGGTATGGCACTAGGTACCTTTTCACAAAGGTGAGAGCTGAATAAAATAACGATTCTATGAAATGGGTATTATCTCTATAATTGAGGAAACTCAGGTTCCATGAGGTTTAATGACTTGTCTGGTAAGCAGTAGGGTCGAGATTAAAATCCAGGTCTGACTTGAAATTCGGAATTTTTCTAGTATACCATATCAGCACCTTATAAAGCAGGGACCATATTATTTTATTATTTTTTGCACTCCAAAATGGATGCTCTCAAATGCGCTGTTTAAACTAGCTATAGTTCTAAAGTATGGCACAAGTAATTTAAATAAATTTGAGTAGATTCCAAGTTTTCCATATAATAAGGCCATATCTCTTCACTTGCATTCCAAGACACTTTCTTGAGTAGGAGAAAAAGTGATAGTTACAGCTAGCATGCAATTCTCATAACTCACAGCCCATGATATCTTTGCCACAGCCAGAGTGAGTGGTGACTGAAACTAATGTATCACCAAGAAAGTTATGCAATTTTACTTTCTTGAAAATGTGTTTGGGTTTGGTCAAATTTGGGAGCATCCCTTGTAAGTGCGTAAAGAATGTGAATGTCATCTGTCCTGTGTTTTTATTGGCAGAAAAAGGGCAGTTAGCACAGTGCTAAGATCATAGCACTACCTCTAATAATAACTGTTGATTACTGTCAGTTTTCCCATAAAAGTAATTTTAAAAAAGAAAGAAAGAAAAAACACCAAAGAAATGGAAAGGATTATATTATATGTAGAAGTTTTTATTAGTACATATGTGTGGGTTCCATTGGCCTTGTGATATTTTGGGGATGGTGGGTGGTAAATACTGGTTTTCCCTAATATTCTGCCTTCAGCAGAACTAGACTTAAGCCATCTCAGACAAATGTAAATTTTTAAAAAACTTTTTATTTTGAAATAATTATAGACTCACAGGAAGTTGCAAAATTAGTACAGAGACTCATAACCCTTCACCCAGCATCTCCTAATGATGACATCTTATATAGCTGTAGTTCAATATCAAAACCAAAAATGTACATTGGCATATTACTGTTAACTAGACTACAAAACTCATTCAATTTTCACCTTTTCTAAACGTGTATTTGTGTGTGTGTCTTCTATATGGCTCTACACAATTTTATCCCATGTTGGGATCCATGTAACCATTACCACAATCAAGATACAGAACTAACCCATCACCACAAAAGAACTCCCTTGTGGCATCTCTTTATATTCACTCTCATCTCACCTTGCCCCACCTCAGTCCCTGTCTCCTGGCAAGCACTAATCTGTTCTTGATCTCTATAGTTTAGCCATTTTGAGAATACTATATACATGGAATCATATACTATGTAACCTTTTGAGATGGGCTTTTTTTCCACTCAGCATAATGCATTTGAGGTTCATCAAGGATGATGCGTGTATCAATAGCTCATCTTCTTTTATTACTGAGTACTATTCCATGGATGTACCAGAATTTATTCAATAATTCACCCCGAGGGACAATTTGGATATTCCAGTTTTGGGCTATTACAAATAAAGATGTTATGAACATTTTCATACAGGCGGTCATAAGTACTCACTTCTCTGGGATAAATGTCCAAGAGTGCAATTGCTAAGTCGTATGGTAAGTCTACACTGAACTTTTTAAGAAACTGCCATTACTCTTTGAGAGTGGTTGTACCATTTTACATTCCCACCAGTAAAGTATGAGTGATCCAGTAACTCTGTATCCTCACCAACATTTGGTATCATCATTTTTTTTATTTTGAAACTATTTTAATAGGTGTATAGTGATACCTCACTGTGGTTTTAATTTATGTTTCCCTAACAGCAATGATGTTGGACATCTTTTCACGTGCTTATTTGCCATTCATATATCCTCTTTGGTGAAATATCTGTTCATGTCTTCTGCACATTTTATAACTGGAATTTTTTTTTGCAGTTGAGTTTTAAGAGTTCTTTATATATTCTAGATATAGGCTTTTGTTGGATATGTGATTTACAAATATTTTCTCCCAGTCTATAGCTTGTCTTTCATCCTAGTGAGGAGCCTGAACTCCTACACCACCTAGTAGTCGTGAGGAGTCCCTTCCCCTGGGAATCAATGGAGGCCAAGGTGAGAACCTGGACTTTCATCCTCACCTGCAGTAATGAGGTAGCACCCCATCCCTAATGGAGCAGGAGGCCTGCTAAACAGAAGATTTAAATAAGATCCAGAGTCTCATATGTCCAGGTTTCAACCAAAAATCACCAATCATACCAAGAACTACTAAGATATCAACTGGAATAAGAAAATACAATCAACAGACACAAATGTTAGAACTATCTGACAAGGATTTCAGAGTAGCCACCATTAAAGTGCTTCAAGGAGCATTTATGAACATGCTGGAAACAACAAAAAATAGAACGTTTCAGCAAATAAATAGAGTACATAAAGAAGAACCAAATGAAAAATTTGGAACTGTAAAATATAATAACTGAAGTGAAAAAAGAAAAAAAAAACTGAATGGATGGGCTCCATGGCAGAATGGAGAGGACAAAGGAAAGATCAGTAAACTTGAAGACAGAACAACAGAAATTACTGAATATTAACAACAGAGAGAAAATAAACTAACAAAAAAAAGTAAACAAGATTCAGGGACCTATGGGACTATAATTAAACATCTATCACTCTTCTTCAGAGTCCCAGAAGAATAGGAGAAAAAGTGTGAGGTTACAAAAAATATTCAAAGAAATAATGGCTAAAAATTCCCCAAATCTGGCAAAAGACATAAACCTACAGATTCAAGAAGCTGAGCAATTCCAAATAGGAATAAACTCAAAGAAATTCACATCAAGACATATCATAATTAAACTTCTGAAAACTAAAGACAAAGAAAAAATCTTAAACACAGCTAGACAGAAAAAATATATCTCGTATAAGGGAAAAACAATTTAAGCACAGCAGATTTCCAGGGAGGCCAGCAGGAGTGGCACAACATTTTTCAAGTGGTGAAAGAAAAGAACTGTCAACCTAGAATCCTATAATCAGCGAAATTAGTCTTTGAGAATGAAGGGGATATCAAAACAGTCTCAGATTAAGGAAAACTAAGAATTAGTCACCAGCAGACCTGCTCTAGAAGAACTTCTATTGGAAATTCTTCATACACATGGGAAATGGAAGCAGAAGAAAACCTGGAACATGGGGAATAAAGGAAAAGCAACAGAAATGGTAAATATTTGTACAAATATAGTAACCTAGTCTTCTCTTAAGTTCTTTAAAATATGTTTGATGGTCAAAAAGCAAAAATTAAATCATTTACTGATGGGGTTTTCAATGTATATAGATGTAATACATAAGATGACCTGTAAACATAAAAGGGGAAGGTAAAGGGATTTATAGAATAGTAAAGTTTTTATGTTCCACT